AATGCTACAGGCTGCTTTCCTGCTCATGCTGCCACTCTCTGGTGAATTCCAGTACTGCACATTTTACTAAGATCGGCTCAGAAGCAAGATCCGGGGCTCTTGGGGAAACATTCGGGGCTGTAGTAGCCCAAGTAGCCACCCCCTAGATCCGCCCCTGGAGCCTCCATTAAGGTGCTTCTCTTTATTTGTCACTGCGCATGATCAGGCCGTTTGGGGTTATTCACAAGTCCAGCTACAGATGCCAGTCCAGATAACAAAGCTACTGACACATTCAGGGTTCCCACAGAAAACCACATCAGACATGAACACATGAAGAGCTGCTCTCTGCCACAGTTACAGAGGGAGGGCTAACGGGGTTTCTGTGTGGAAATGTCCACGATGAGCACGGTGCCTCATTCAGGACCAAACCGGAGCTCTTTATTCTGCTGCGCCCTGAAGCGCGCGACTTGTACTGCGGGCACGCGCGTTCAGGTGAACCTGGAGCACGTTCACCTGAACAGACGGAAGCCTACTTTCGGTTTCACCGCGTTGTTGCGCAGCTCTCGTTTATATTTGAGAAAAGAGCAAGAAAAGATCTTTAAAAGGAAGAAAAGCACGTAAGTAAAAGCGGAGTTATTCAGACCGGAACCAGAACCAGAAACAGAACCAGAACCAGACCCGGTAAATCTCTGGATGATAATAATTAAATTCTGTTTTCTGGATCTGAGCTGGAGGCTCGGATCCTAAAGACCTGAGACAAATAAACTTTATGGACGTTTAAACAGGTTTTTATCCGCGTGAACAGAAACTCGTTCAGTTTTGACTCGTTTTAACGGGATTTCGTGCTGATCTGAACAGTTTAAGGACTTTTAGGAAAAAGCAGAACCAGTTGGCATCGTGCCAGAGGACGCGATTGTTTACAGCGTTACGCAGCAAATGTTCATATTATTACAGTCCAGGACTAAAAATGTACAGTGTTATTTACAACCTGAACAGAGAAATAAAGAGCTGTTAACAAGTCCTGTGGTTCATCTGTCAGGAGGAGTAAAACTGCCCTATCAGCAATAATTAGACGGTTAAAGGTATGAGGAACAAAGTGTCTCTGCAGGATGGAGGCCTCTCTGTACCACCATTCAAATGAACAAGCATCAACATTAATAACTCTTTCTTTTTTTAAAATAAAGCTGCATTTTCAGACTCATTAATAAAAAGATAAATAGTTAGAGGGCTTCATTGTTTTGAATCTGAAAGAAGTCAGTTGCAGATCAATAACCGGGTCACATTTGACTATTCTTTTCCAGGTTTTCCTCCAGAGTGACACAATGGAAAGAGAACCATCTGGTGAGTTGAGTCCAGCTCCAGACTGATTATGTAGGACTGTGTGGGGGTTTCTGGACCTTTGAGCTGGTTCTTGAAGTAGCAGCCTGTCATGAAGCTGATCTGCTGCTCACAGATTTGAACGTGTCTTTAACCTGATTTGGTTCTGTCCCTACAGGAGAAGAACCTGGACCATCATCATCACCACCACAAGGCTCTCCAGGTATGTCAGATGATGGGAATCAGAAACAGGGTGAGAAGCTCGGCCATCCGCGAGGGTCTCAGAGTCAAGAGGTATCTGATTAGGTCACCTCCTGGTGTTCTGGGCACAGCCCAACAGGACGAGACCCAGGGATGGACCCAGGACACGCTGGAGGGACTATGTCTCTGGCTGGCCTGGGAACGCCTTAGGAGGGGCCGGGGAGTGTGGGTTTCCCCCCTTAGGCTGCTGATCCCAAAGAAGCTGAAGACAATGGGTGGATGTCTTTAACCTGATTTTGTTCTGTCCCTACAGAACCAGAAGAACCTGGACCATCATCATCACCACCAAAAGGCCCTCCAGGTATGTTGGATGATGGGAATCAGAAACAGAAGCAGAGCTCCCCCTGTTTCCCATCCAATCAGCTCCTCCTGTTCAGGAGGAGAGTTTTATTGGTGCAAAGTGCTGAAACTTTCTTTTGAAAGTCTAAAAGGTGTTTCTGTGCAGCTGCAGACATTAGAAACAGAAACTTTATCAGAGTTACAGAGTCTCTGCAGTCCACCTTAAACACAGAGAGTTTGATTAAACGTTGTTTCTAACATCAAATATTCACTCTGTTTCTTCTTCTTTTCTCTCCTTTAGGTGTGATTGCAACGCCAATGTTCGGTAAGTGTTAGTTGGTGGTGAGCTGTGCAGGTTTGGGGCTCCTGAGGTGATAGAAAGTGGAACCAGATGTTCATCTAATTTTGTTTATTACTTTATTTGTACTGTGGATCACTGTAATATTCTCTTTTTTTCTCTATTGCAGCTGTTTTATGTTTTAATACTAGTCTTCTACGTTATTTATTGTTCTTTACAAAAAGTTCGGGCCACTGTATTTGTTTTAAAGTGCTTTATGTATAAAGTTGGAGTGGAAAATTGGATCTCTGACTTGTTTTTATTTTGTCTCTGCAGAGAAAAAAGCAGCCAAAGAACAACGTGAACGTAGGTTAAAACGCAGCAAATCAAATTCTGTGCAGTCCACCTTAAACACAGAGACTGTCAGTAAATGCTGTTTTAACAGGAAATATTCACTCTGTTTCTTCTTCTCTTTCTCCTTTAGGTCTTCGTCATAGGCTCTCGATGCCTGAATGGGGTAAGTGGTAGTTGTTGGTGAGCTGTGCAGGTTTGGGGCTCCTGAGCTGATAGAAAGCTGAACCAGTGTCAGTCCTCAGC